TGTGGTTTTAAATAAACTATTTCAATTTAATTTAAAGATTCATTATCTGTATTTAAAATTATTTTATTAAAGCAAGAACTATTTAATAAAATGTTTAAATGCATAGAAGTTTTTTATATAAAGGTCTGGAGGTACTTAGATGGCAAAGAAAAAATTACCTAGTATTCGTTTGAAATTGCTCAATGAAATACCTGATTATTTCTCCTTTGAAAACAGCACATGAAAATCAGGATCTGCTGTGACAACAGGTGTACTCAGATCATGACAAGTACACCTTTTTCTAGGCAAATAGTGGTTTTCATTTAAGAATAATGAGAATTAATAAGGGCAAACAAGAAAATCTAGCTTAAATACAAAAGGCGCATTTTATTATTCTGTGATGTAAAACTGATATAAATAAAAATTTGGATAAACATTTAAATGAAAACAGTTTCAGTATTGGAGATTTAATCTTAAATTTCAGAGTATGCTTGCATTTTAATATGAGAAAAACAAGTGCGAAAGTACAAGGCTCCAGTGCCTTATTCAATCCAACCCTCATGTGGGAATGAATAAGGTGAAAAGCTTCAGACCACAGATAATAATAATTATTCTCTAAATTAAAGATGAGCTTTAACTCAACTTCTTTGATGATTAAGAAAGCCAAATTTTCAAAGCTAATTAGTTTCTCAGTAAGGGTCATTGTTGTTTATTGTTCAGGTACTCTTAAGGTAATTAGTATGCCTGACCTAAATTAGGCACATTTTGCACATTTTATTAACAATGCACAGTAACAGAAACCCCTGACCAAAATATATGCTGTGCCTCTCTCTTCTGAGGTGGCCTACCAAGGAAGCAAATTTCACATCCAAGGATGCTTTCAACATAAACATCTGGCTACAGGTTCTTGGTTACTCTACCAACAAAGGTTGTGCCATCCCATTGCTCAGGGAAAAGTGGCTTCCATGTTTTCCAAATCTTTTATTGGCGCTATGTTGCTTCATGTGTAGTGAAGAACTGAGCACAGCCAGATAGAAAAGTACTCTGACCTACCAAAGGAAGCAGTAAGAACTGGTTTGTTACTCTATCTCAATAACTTGCTATCTCAGCAGTAGAAAGTAGCTGATTTTTACAGAAAGAGTAGAAATCATAAATTATTGAATGATTCCTCCTACCTTTAAAAAAAATCTCTTCTAGCTTCCAACCATTAGCATTTTAGAACTTTCTGAATGAAAGGTGAAACTGCTTTTAATACCCAAGATCTAATTCTTCTGATATTGAGATTATAAGAAAGTATGCAGTCCTTTCCAGCTCATCTTCTCTGTATTGTTACCAATTGTGTATACCTCTAACATATTCCTTTTTTCCAAGCTCAAGAATCCAGTCCACTTAGTAGTCACAACTACAATCTTTTCTTGTTGCTTTTCTTGGTACTGTTTTTGCTTCTACTGCTCCTTTTATGAAATTGCTTAAAAGAATTGCAAATATATCCTTTTCAATATATGAAGGTACCTGCGGCTACAGAGAATATAACGCTAGACATTAAAAAGTTTATGTTGTTTCTTTCAAAAGAATTACTGCTAATTTATTTCCCTTTGATTGACATTAGTCACTGAGCACAAGATATTTGCAGAGAACTATATAAATCTGTTCTCAGCAAGGTAGCAGCCTGTCATTCCATTCATATCACATTAGCTCAATTACTATATTAATTTGAAATTTCAGTGATCAGTTTAGCATCTTTTCACTCACCTATAAGTGAACATGGTAACATTCTAGTTTTACTTTGGGTAGCCAGCCTTAAATATGGCTGTCATGAATAAGATTAATTCTCCATTGTTACTGTGTTACTACTAATCACCTTTCATACATTCTTTATGAAAAGATGGTCAGGTCTAGCTGCCAAACTCTCCAACAACACAACTTACATTATTCTTCTTTTCCCCATTTAAAACCATTTATGATACAGAAAAACCTCTACTTCTGTTGTAATTTTAATTTAGGATATTTTTTGATTATAGGCTTTATCAAGCTCTTGGATGAAGCTCCTGCATTGAACAGGTGAAATTTAGCAATTTGTGTATTGAGTCCAGTCTTACACTCTGGTTGATTTTTGAGATGTAACTGCCCTCTATGACAGCATGCTAACTCTTCTCCAATATTTCATATGTCATCACATGCTTACCAAGCCCGCCCTTTAATAGTTCCTTATACTAATTGGTCTCCAAGATAATCAAATTACAAGTAAGATTTTTTTGTTAAAACTTTTCCCTCAGGATTATCATGCATACCAGTGCTGTCAGAGTAAAACTGTTTGAGGATTCATTCTGCAATTATGTGACTACGTTGTGGAAATTTGCAGGGTCTCTGTGTCCAAAATAGCTTGAGACAAAGAGATGCTTTCCCCCCTCACACTTGTGTTGCTTGACTGTAGACCTAAGAATGCACTCACAGGAACTTAAAATGTAAACATATCCATGCACACCTATGGTCAAAGGAAGGTGTGGGAAGAAGGTTAATTCAGAACTCCAGATACATGAGATTGCTCATGATCAAACCAAAGCCTTGAAATCGGTGTATAAGCTCACAGACACGCAGCTCATCAGGCAGGGATTTACTCCAGTTACACAATACAACCCTTCTGATGGGCAGGACAGCCCATTGTCAAATACCTCTCTGCTGTACAAATGCTTCCTGGTGATGAGGAAGGCGTGAATGACACTAAAAAAGTGCTGTGACTAAAAGGCATTTACTCAGGTGGAATTTCCAACTGGATTTTTGAACAGCTGAGAGACTTTGATGCAACTGACACTGGAAGACCCAAGATTTTCTGGAAGAAACTCATGGTAGTACAGGAGCAAATGAGAGACCAACCAAGCTGTCAAAGTCAATGTCCTCTCTAGCCAAGTGTACTTTCTCCAGCTGTGGCTGTAAGCCAACAGCCAGAAAAAGTAAGAACAAGGCAGACTTGGGCTGAGGGTACCACAATCCCATCTCACTACTATTCCTGTCTAACATTTGCCCTGTCTTCCCTTAAATCCTGCTTTCTCAACCACAGCAGCAGCATCACATCCAGTGTAGGGGTCCAGTGTGTTACTGCAAATACTGAACAGCATGTAGGAGGAGGAAAACACGAGTGGTACGAAGCCAGGCCAGAATTTTAAGATTGTTAATTAGGGCTTTGAAATAGACAGTCTGGGTCAACCCAATCTAGGCACCTATTCTGACAGATGTGGGTTTGTCCCACACTGACACTACGCAAAGAATTCAAAAGCTGAAAAATTAAGTTTTGACCACAAGGTAAATATCCTAGGTTATTAGGTTTGGATGGAAATTATTGCAGGTCCAGACAATTCATTCCCTTTCTATGTCCACAAGTGCTTGAATGGAGCATAATGAATTAAAGTAGTTAGAAATTGGGCCCTGTGCTTCCCACCAGGCTGGAAACCTCACTAAGGCAAAGTGGAGGGTCTGCTGCAGCTGCAGGGGTCTGCTGAGGGCTGTAGGGGTCAGAGGACACTTATTTTGTGCTTATGTGAACACTTGAAGTGGGACAGCCACCATGAGGTTGCTTCTTAAGACAAGTCACGCTTTACAAGTTCAAACAAAAAAAAAAAGAAGTGTTACAGCCCTTATTCCTCTGCTCCCACTGAGGCTGTATGATGGAATTTAGTGCAATGTTGATATGTTTAAGCTGCAGCCATCAACAGAGCCATCCTACAACAGCAACATGCCATGAAGTACTGCAGCACGTAATTGTGAATGTTATCATAGGTTATCATAGGTTACCACAGGTTACCCTACAGAGTGCCCCGTGCCCACAGTGCACTGGTATGTAACCAGTGGCTCACACACCTCTGTGGATGCCCACGTGAGTAGAGGGGGGACACGGCCATGCTTTTAGGCATTTCAGTATTCTCATGCCCACACAAACGTGCACATCCTACTACAACTCCTCCCTACCTTCTTGCCACCTACAGTCACTACTGGTGACCTTTCACAGTGAACATCTCATGCTGTCAGATGCAACTGATCCTTCTTTACTAGCTTAAAATTGTAAGAAACAAGTTTTTTTTTTTTTCAGATTTTTTGCTCCTGAACTGTGAATTTCAAAGTACACGAATGTAAACCAATAGTGCAATCTACTTGGTCTCCTTCTTGACGTGCTTTGGGACTCGCTACAACTCAGTAGTAATTGTTTCTGAAGCAAAACGTGCATAAAATGTAGCCGGCAATAGAAACACCATTCCTTGCTTCAGGCTGAAAGGTCTTTTGAGCGCAGGCTGTTCCCATGGGAAGCCTACCTCCTGCGTGCGCGACCCGCATCTCCGGGTTTGGTAGTTATTTCGGCTTGTATTCCCCTGAAGCCACTTCGAAACCCAGAAGCCACACAGACCACCACAATCGTCCCGAAAAGAAGAAACCCGGCCGAAAACCCCAAACTTTGGCTCTGAGCGCAGAGTACTTTGCCCCGCCATGGCGGCCGCCGGCCGGCACCGCCCCGGCGGGATGGGACGGGACCCGCCCGTGCGGAACCTGCGCCCCGCGGAGCGCGGCCCGCAGGGAAAGGAAGGCAAGGGAAGGGTAGGGAGAAGGGAGGAGAGGCGAGGCTGCCGCGCCCGGGAGCGGCACGCCGGGGCGGGGGCAGCGCTGTCCCGGGCTCCGCACAGCCCCGCACGGCTCTGCGCGCAGCCGGCGCCGCGGCGGGGCGGGGTAGCGAGGGGAGGGGACGGGCAGCGCCTCGCCGCGGAGGTGGGCGGCGAGCGGGCGGGGTGTTCAGCGCCGTGCCCGGGACGGGCATTACCCAAAAGGCGGAAAAAAAAAAAAGGCAGTAATTAAAGTCGCGGCTGCCGCGCGCGGTCCCACCCTCCCCACTGTCCGGCTCCTGTGGCAGACGGGCGGGGACAGCAGAGCCGGGCTCCCGCGGAGTCGCGCCGCCGCCGCTTCGCACTCGCTCCCTCGCCCGCCGTGGCAGCACCGACGGCGGCGGCTCCCCCCCTTCCCGCCCAGCCCCGCGCACCATGGCCCCCGCATTCCCCCGCCTGGTCCTCGGCCTCCTGGTGAGTGAGGGAGGGAAAGAGGGAGCGAGCGGGATCGCTGGGATCACTGGGATGAGTGGATAGGCGCCGGGAGAGCGCAGGGGAGCGCGCCGGCCGCTCCCGCACCTGGGCGCGCCTTTCCTGCGCGCTGTTCCTGCCGCACCGCGGGTGCGCAGCGCACAGGGGAGACATCCGAGCGGGTGGTCTCTGCCTGGCTCTTGACTCCAGGTCGGGTTTCTCCTCGGCAGGGTCCTTGCGAGGGGCGCAGAAGAGCGCGGAGGCTGCGCGGCCGCGGGGCGCACCTCGGGGGGCTTCGGCGCGGGCAGGAATCCAGCGGGATGCGCAGCTCGCGTCGGGACGGGTGGTCGGGTGGCTTTTGGAGCCTCCCGTGAGGTTACGCGACGGGCACACCTCGAGTCGCTGATGCTGCTGCTGGATATTCATAGAAAAAAATACCACAGCTCATTTTATTTAAATCTCGCACTCTACCTCTCCCCACCTGGTTCTCCTTTTTCCGTGGGAAGGATTATGCCACAGTGTCGAGCGTGTTGAGCTCCTCTGAGTTAGTTGTGCTTGAAACACTTTTCAGCGATTTCCTTTACATTCAGTTGATTTTATTTGTACATAATTATCGGCTCCAGAAAGGCCTTTGGCGGGCAGAGCAGGGTAGTTCTCTCCCACGTTTTAATTTTTTAAAATTTATAGTAGATGAATAAAAGTGATTTGTCTTTTGTTTTCTAGCCCCTTTTCTCTGTATTAACATTGCATTCACAAAAAGAGGGCAGATGGTCGGTTGAACCTGTGACTTGGTAGTGTTGAAGCACTGAATTTATTATTTTAATGTTAATTATATATGCACATTTTAATGATAATGTTACTATTTCAGACACTGTATGCCTGCCTTTGCAAGGATATTAAAGTAAAACCATAAGAAAGGCAAGTGCCTTTACTCATACATGTAATTAAAAAAAAAGGAAAAAATTCTTCTGTCGAGCAGAAAAAACCAAACAAACAATACTCAAAGGAAAAAAATCCTGAACTGTCTTCTTTGTGTAAAGTGAAAGGACATCACAACTTTTTTTTACCTGATGTTTCCCTATGTCTTGATGTCCATGAATAACTACCACTTTTGTTTAACTCCTCAATAGTTTTTTGTGCTGATATCAGACTGGGCTTGGCATTACTATTTAAAAATTAGATGTAACATTGACTCTTAAAATATTTCAGAACAGTGTAAAAAGATGTTGTGATTTCAATAACTTAAAAATTAGTGCAATGTCTTTCAGGAAAGAGTGTTGTATTCAGTGTCTGTTAATAAAGAAAGCCTACTAATACATAAGCAGGGATGTTTAAATTATTTGTATATATGCAATTTTTATATCTGTGTATATATATATATATAAGGAACTATATGAAGAGCTTTTAAGGTGCAGACACAACTTTTTTCTAAAGGGTCCTAATGTCTATAAGAGTTTAAAGTATTTTTATTTAAATATTTTCTTAATAAACCTCAGAAGTAATTTTCAGGATTTCTATTAGCTATTTACTTCTTTATATCTTTAATCCTAAAGGTATGTGCAAAGTAAAAATGCTTTTCCGTTTTTGCTAGACTTTCATCCTGAAAGAGTTAAATGCACATAAAAGAGTGGATAGATTTGTTTATGTTTTTCTATGCCTTTGTTTCGTTGTCTGTGCGATTTTTGGATTACAATTTTAAACATAGAGATAGAAACTAGGCAAAAACACGCACATATAATCTGAGATCAGGATTCACTTTCTCTGTGCTGAGGAAAATCTTTATATCGCTATGCGATTCTTTTTAGAAAAAGGTCTGGTTATTTATCTACACTCATCTGAATTTTTAGGAGGACCCTATTTTGTAACTGGTTATATGGGAGTGGACTGCTGTGATACATGACGTTTTATTTATGTCATATCTAATTGCTGAAGCTACGTTTAATTAGTTTGTTGAGAACGCACTTTTAAGATGCAAAGTAATATATAAGTGCAAGTGTCGTCATGTAGTTTTAATGAGACACTTGTCCCTTTCATCTTCAGGATTGCCACAATTCTACCAAACTGAGTGTTGATAAATTAAACCTTAATACTTAGAGACCTTGGATCTAAACTGGCTGGGAATGCTCTTAGAGGGAGTGCACAGAGAAGACGTATTTTATTGTTTCTCTTCTGAAGTAGGATTGCAGACAAAATCCTCTAGTCAAAGGGAAATCTTCCTATTAATGTCAGTGGTGCAGTGATTTTTAGAAAAAAATGAAACATGACCCATGGACAAATACAGGAGCAGTAGTCAGATCTTGTTTCACAGTTTGAAACTTTGTATGCTGTGCTGCACAGTACCTGAATTTTTAGGGAGGAGTTCTTTCTGTGCTGTTTCACTTGCTTGTCATAACAAACAAACAAACCAGCCAAAGTCGGCATCACTGTCTAGTTCAAAATACCATGTAATTATGCGGGTTTTTTCCTGATTTCTTCATTTGTTTTCTAGGTGCTGAGTTTGTGCTGTGAAGCTTGCAAGAAAGTAATTTTTCATGTTCCTTCTGAACTAGAGGCTGAGACGTTAGTTGGCAGAGGTGAGAGAAACTATGAAATTCCCAGCTTAACAACACAGCATTGCACCTTTGCTGGAGATGCTGTTAACAATGGAGGAGACTTTTTTTTTAATGGAATGAATGGATGACTGGAGAGCCAGCTAAACAGCTGGATCAGCCTTTTTATGAAGGATACGCCCTGTGTTTGTTATGGATTTGAACACCAGCTCCATGCATCCATTTGACTTTTGCATAAAGAGCTGTTGTCAGATTACAGGATTTAATTTAAAACTAAAATGGCAGAATTTAGTATTTTCAAAATTTGGAATCTAAGTCTTACTATTTAAATAAATGCTTGATATTCCAAACTTCACCCATAACCCGTGGTCATATGAAGAAGACAATAACTTTTTTGGACAAAGGAAATGATAAAAAAAGAAGACAAAACCTGTTTAACCAGGCACCAAGAGGCTGCTTCTGTGTGAAACACGGGATGTGACTGCTCAGCAGTGCTGGGGCATTCAGAGCACACGAGGGGACATGTTGCAGAGGTGTCCTGCATGCACATTCTGTTGGGAGAGTGCTCCTGTCTGACTGGACAGTCTGCCTCAGTTTAGGGCATCTTACAGGTGACTGGGAGGAATAAAGGAGACCAGAAAACATCCCACTCCCATTTTTTTCAGACTAGTCTTTCAAAGGCAGGTTTGAAAGGTGTGGCATAGGAGGTGCTGAAGGATTCTCTGCTGCCTGAGACTGAATTTGAGAATTCAGAGGTGCCCTTTGTGAGTCCTGTGATAACAGAGAAGTGTGCTCCAAGTCTGCAGTCCTAATCCATATTTCTGTAGAAAGGACAAATAAAGCGATTGGTAGTTCATCACAATTGCTCAGAAAATCCAGCTTTATAGTGAAAATTCCTTGATCTTACTTTTAAATTTTAAAACAAAGAAAGCTGCTACTGCTGTGTGAGCTTTCATAGACTTTAACATTTCTCTATGTAAATAAACTTAATTTATATAAAAATTAAACTGCATGTTATTGCAGTGCTTTGAAAGAACTTGCATTACACAGAACTCTCCATTTTTTCCCCAAAAAACTTTTAACAAAACCATTATAGCTCAAAAGACATTGCTTAAGCATTTATGGAGAAATATTTTGCATTAATACAAGGACCATACCTTGACAGTGAAATTAGTCAGGATTTTCCTGTTTATCATAAGGGTTCTTTATATATTATACCAGAGGTTTTAAAGAAAAAAATAAAACCCCACAAAACTATAACTAATGAACCATAGGGTTGACTCATATAACAATTAGAAACAGTATCTCCAGTCTGGTATTTTTGGAAATGCCGTACTGTAATAGGCAGCAGTAGAAGGCACATTTAAGTGAGGCCATGATATTCTTTTCAATACTCTATTTGCACTGTACAGATGAAAAAGGAGTCACAGCTGCAGTACCATAGAAAGTCTAGGAAGTCTTAATTTGTGCATTTAAGAGGAAGAAGAAATCACATTGTATTTAAAATTATGCTTCCCATCTGTTTTTGCAGTTTTGAAAGTGGAATGAAATTTAGTTTATTGAAAAATGTCATTTACATATACAGGATGAAATTCTGAATCTTCATGAATTTTCCAATCACCTTTCATACAGCAGCGTCCCACCCACTATGATACCGTTGAAAGAGTATTGAAAAGTTTTGATTTTGAGACCATGACACACCTCTTGTGGTCTGCAATGATAATTTGTTTGGAGTTTGAGTCTCTGATTTTCATCCTTTTCATGGTGTAAAATCATTCTTTCTTAGGGCTTGGGTCATATCCTGATTTTGCTTTTTCTCCAGCTGTAGTGCTAAACTAACTGCTGGTGAACCGAGTTTACTGAAGTGCAAAAAATCTATTAATTTTAGCTACAGGTGACAGCAAATAAAATGAAAAATACCTGGGAAGTATGCTGAAATTACCTGTATGGCATTCTATCACATGCATATTAAAAAATTGCTAATTGTTTGTTCTAGAGTTAGTCTTTATCTCTCCCATCTGTCTGCCTCTTAAGTTAAAGGCCTTTGTCCTCCCAAGAGTATTAAATCACATAGTACCAGTCAGTGCTTTCCTCCTGAGGGCAAAACTTCCAAGAGGTAACATCTCCACTGGGCATTTGCATTAATTAATCGTGTTCACCGATATTGTAGGGCATGGAGCACGAGGCAAATGTAATAGCTACTGCTCCAATAATGGGCATGTCTGCCATGTTTTTGGCATTTAAATATACATAATTTCATCTCTGACGCTTCAATAATTTTACCAGCGTAATAGTGTTTTGTTGAGCGATATCCATACAGCACCCATGTCATTTAGGAAGCACTAATGAACACAAGAGTAGAAATTAATGAAAACTTCATCAAATCTGAGTGCATAAGTAGGTTTTAAAATCAATATTGTTGTTGCTTAAATACTGAAGACTCTACTTCAAAATACTGACAAGCTTTTGAAGTCTCTATCTGTCAGTAAATACAATTTTTACTTGGGGCTTAAGTTTTTTTTTAATGAGGGATATAGTTTTTTGCTGTTTGAGTAATTGTTTGAATATTTTTATTACAGTTGATTTGAAAGAATGCCTTCAGTCTGCAGAGTTTATCAGTTCCAGTGATGGGAGATTCAAGGTTCTAGAGGATGGTTCTGTGTATACAACATCTGCACTTTCTTTGTCTGCTGAGAAAAAGACTTTTACCATATTACTTAAGGATATTCAAGAACAAGTTCAAAAGAAAATACAGGTTGACTTGGTGGAAGAAGAAAAAAAGGTTAGGTTCTAATTTCAAGATATCTTACTTTTTTGAAATACTATTTTAAAGAGTACAGCTTCATATTAAGTATCTGTAGTTGAATTTTAGAATTCAAATAATCAGGCAAAATGCTGGTGTAGAGTGTATTTTTGTTTAGCAGTTGTTGATTACTGTGTTACTTAGTCAGCAGATTTCCTTTCTCAAATGGGAGATGCTAGCTAGTAGCATAATCAGGAATGTCAAGAATCTTAAAAGCCATGTTTGAAGAATTAAAGTGGATCTTATTCATGCAAAGTATTACAAGAAATGAAAAAGCTTGGAATATTATCACAGATATAATAAAAAATTAAGGCCTTGGAAAAACAAATTGTCAGTAGGAAGACTGGAAAGGGGGAAAAAGATGGAAATGTAGGATGGCAGTTAAGCAAAAATATATGCATGTAAGAATAAATGGATGTATTCTATCTTTCCATCTTCTCGACCCAGACACCGAATAAGAGGCATGCTAGAGATACAATTCTCAAGAGAACCAAAAGAAGGTGGGGCCCTATTCCATCTGTCATGATAGAGAACTCACTGGGACCTTTCCCACTGCAAATACAGCAGGTACATTTTGTATGAACCTTAATTTTATGACCCATGCTAGTTCTGTGTGTGACTTCTATGATAGAGAAAATTACCTGTCTTGTATTCTCTACCAATGACATTCCTGCTATTATTCCTGTCTTGTTCTGTCCTGTTCATTGTATATCTTGTGATCTTGTACCTGAAATAACTTGTGATCTTAGTTGTTGGAGTGAAATGGAATTGTGCAAAATTTGAAAGAAGAGAGACACACTATCAAAGAGAGTTTGGCCTGGAAATCAGTGTGTTTAATTAAAAGAAAAGCAACAGCAAACAACCCTCTACTAAACATTGCTTAAAAAAGGATTTTGTAAACACAGGCTGGGGTAAATTTTGCCTGCTTGTCTACATCCTTTCTGGAGCTCAAGGTGTGTACCTTCAGCCTTGAAGACTGAATACAGCTATGTTATTCAGAAAAGTAGTTAATGGGAGAAAACAAGTAGGCGTGAAAGAGAAATGCAAGAACTAAAGTTATCATAGATCCATCTAGCCTTCACTAGATTACAGAGTGGCTGGTGGCAGATGTGTAGAGACAAGTGTAATGACAGAGTCTGTGAGAGCATTCTTCTACTAATCTTACCCTCCTAACTTCTGGCATTCAGTAAATAAGGAAAGTATTTTGGGAGAAGAGTGTTTATAAATAGATAAGTCTAATGTTGCCTCCTTGGTGCTCATAATGAAATCCAGATGCTATCTGAATTGGCATATCTCTGAACTATATTCTATGTGGTCTTTATTCCTTTTTCCCTTCCTTCACTTTTTCTTTAGGTGCAAATCACACTCTCAGTAAATGCACTAAAACTAAAGTCTCTTGCGCAGGTTCAGAAATAAGCCATCTGTATCTGAATATGCTTCTTGTGTGAAATATTCTAGAGATAAATTTAAATTTTTTTTCCTTATACTTATATCTCTAATTTGGTAATTCTAAATATTTATGAGTTTCAATTAACTCCCCTTCTCATTATAAAGGAAGACAGTCACATGTCAGGCTGTTTTCCTGGTCTGTGAACAGCAAATCAAGTTTGGTTTTTTTTGTTTTAGGAGTTTTTGTTTGTGCTAAATATGACCATGAAAAGGGGGAAATGTATTAAGATGCTGTTATTGTTTTTCCTTGGGCTTAAAAATGTCTTCTTATAGGTCCAGTCAGACACAGCTCAGAACTACACAATTTATTATTCTGCAAGTGGACCAGGGATTGATCAAGATCCAAAGGGCTTGTTTTACATAGAAAGAGAAACTGGAAATATCTTTGCTACTCGTGCAGTAGACCGTGAACAGTATCCAAGTTTTCAGGTACTGGCCTATGTTATGTAAATGCAATTAAATATATATATATAATCTTAAATCTCTCATGCATATATTTGACAGTTGAGTTTCAGGAGAAATGGTAGCAAAAGAGATCTGGAATCACCTGTCTATTCTGAGTAATATCCTTGGTGTTGAAGAGATAAAATCAATAGCAAATAAATAAATAGCTGGTCATCTAGATCTTGAGAGTAGTTTTGCTCTTCACTGCCTAATCTCTAATTGCAGCATAAATATAGTGAGCTATAGGATTTGCATCACTTCTAGGAAGAATTTTTTAGGGAAGGTTGAAAAGATCTGCAGAAAACAGAAATCATGGTAAAATCTGGATGACTATGGTTTTCTGAGTCTCTCAAGCTGTTCAGTTCTGTTACCAAGGTAGACTGCTCTCTCTGCTGGCTGAGAAGTGTAAGAAGGAAACTAGTAGAAGCAGCTTCTAAAACATAATTTTCAGTATGTATTGCTGCCTTTTATTAGGTGATGTTATAGTGGGGAAAATAGTTTTTCTCTGGTTCTTGTTTTGTTCTAAATAACTTTGTATACATCTACATTTTGATAGCTGAGGTGCCTTGTGAATACCCAAAAAATAGGCAGTGCTCAGGAAACTTGAACAAAGTGATAGAGTTGGAGGAGAGGTCAGGGAGAAAGTGATTGAAATACTTGTAGTGTGACGAATGGAAGGGGGAAAGACTGGAAAGCATTCAGAGGTTTTGTTCTGCTTTCACACTAAGATACCAGTAACATCCCCTTCCATGTGCCTGAAGAACCTGGTCTTGAGAAAGATGTGCTTGGCACACTGTATTTAATTTCATTTTATGGACTCCTCCATTAAATAAAAGTTCTGCATGTTGCTTAAACACTGAATTTTTCTTACAGATCATTTGCTTTGCAACTACTCCAGATGGTTATTCACCTGAAGTACCACTTGTGCATACAATCAGGATAGAGGATGACAATGATAATGCTCCATATTTTACACAAGACCATTTTGAATTTTGTGTCCCTGAAAATTCCAGACCTGGTAAGAATAGTTTTAAATCACTGAACACACCACCACTCATTTTTGTTGCTTTCCAGTATGATTGGTGTGATCCTGCCTTTTAAGACATTTCAGTGGGATTTCCTGGGAGTATTATATTACAGCAAAGGCTGAATTTATAAAAAGCAGCAGGAAATGATAAAGTAGCTCTTTTCACATATTTAAAACAGAAATACCTTTTCAAATAATTTTTTTCCTATTTGCAGATTTATCTGGAACTAAAAATCGCTGTATTGTGTTCACAGGTGTTTTTGTTGGGAAAGTGACTGCAGAGGACAGAGATGAGCCTTACACTCTGCATACCACGTTGAAATACCGCATTGTGTCACAAACCCCACCCATTACCCCAGCGTTTTCCTTACATGGTGACACCGGCGTCATCTCTGTATTACTGCCACAGCTGGACAGAGAGGTGATCTTTCCTGAAGCATTCTCAGCTGTCCTTTAGTGCACACAGATAGTTAACACTGCTCTGCTCTGCCCACCTGCAGGGCTGCATCCAGCTCTGGGCTCCTCAGTACAGGAAGGACATGGACCTGTTAGAGCGAGTCCAGAGAAGGGATATGAAGAAGTTCAAATCCAAAAGTTGGACGACCTCTTCTATGAAGACAGGCTGAGAGAGTAGGAGTTGTTCAGCCTAGGGAAGAGAAGACTCATTACAGCCTTTTAGTTCTTAAAGGGGGCTTATAAAAAAGGAGAGTGACTTTTTTTTTTTGCATGGGTATATATATATATATATGTATATATATGTATATATGGGTATATACATATATATATATATATATATATATATATATATATATATATAGGTATATATATAGTGATAGGACAATGGGAAGTAGTTTCAAATGAAAAGAGGAGATATTTAGCTTAGATGTTGGGAAGAAATTCTTTACTCAGAGGTTGTGAGGTACTGGAGCAGGTTGCCTAGAGAGGTTGTGGGTGCCTCATCCCTGGAAGTGTTCTGAGCTAGGTTGTACAATGTCCTGAGCAAACTGATTCAGGGGGTGGAAGCTCATGGGGATGAAGCCCTGTGGCATGGGCAGTTTGGAACTAGATGAACTTTAGAATCCCTTCCAACCCAAGCCTTTCTATGATTCTTTAAAATGCTGGCATGGGGATCAACAGACATAGCTTCTTTTTAATTTTTTGTTAATGTCTCTAAGGCTTCTTCTGAAGCTTTTCAGAAACCTGTAATTAGTCCAGAGAGTTTCTGCATAGATTACCATATTCTAGCTAACATTGGAAGAGAACTTCCTACTGCTCAGCTGTTCAACCTATGGATTTTTCACTTTTTTACTGAACACTTTGTATGTTCAGGAATCCCATGAACCATTCTTTCCTCCTAATTAAGCTCAATTTGAATGCTTCTTGTTCCTTCATAGAGAAGATGAACTGGTTTCTCTAGATGTAGTCAGTCATCCTATATTAACCAGAAATACCTCCAGTAGTTGAAACCTAAACAGTAATATACCATTTCTTAAAATTAATGTGCCACCCATTTATTTTTATCAGCTAGCTTTCAAGCAAGTAAGATACAGGTTTTTTCTTTTTTTGATAGAATGCCATGTGGGATAGTTTACACTAGGATAAAAATGACAGGTGCATGTAGTTCAAAATAATAATAATTCTAAATTGAGACAGTCATTTTAGGAGACATTGCTACAGGCCCAGCTTTTCTGAAGATAAAAGGAGTTATATTACGGCATACTTGTGTTGTTTCATGGCTGGAAATCCATGTAAAACATCATGTTGCAAAACTTTGCACTTGCAGATACAGTGCTCAGCTTTTTTAGCAAGAGAAAATTGCAGTGATTGTGAGCATCACTAAGGGAGCTGTCACAGTGAATACTTGAAGAAAAAAGGGATTTAAAAACTAATCCACTGTCTATCATTCAAAGACATTTATGAAATAGAACAGGAGATTTAATTCCTGCCCCAGAGAAACCAGTGCTACTTCCAGGCATTCAGAACTAGAGTTATTGTCTTTATTTACAAACTTTCTCATTTTCTGCCTAATCCATCTGTACTGTCATATGTTCCTTCCCCACTGCCCACACCTTTTTTTTTTTCCCATGGTCCCCCTTTCCGTGGTTGTTCACATTACAAAAAAAGCTTTCTGCTGTTCTGGTTCAAGTTAAGGATTTAAGTGGGCTGCTTCCTATTGGGGAGCCCCTTGGAACTGATAAGGATGCTGACTCCTTCAGTGCCAGACCCTGCCAAATGACAGGAGTTGCCTTAACCTGTACTGCTCAGACAGGCTGGTTGCAGCACAGTTTTCTTCATCCTCAGTGAAATAAGAGACATGCATTGAAACACTTCACCTGTTGACACCCTGATGGAATTCTCTGTTGCTCCAAGGGGAGACAAATAGCAGGTGAAAGTGTGTCATCTGTTTCTTCCAAAACTTCAGGTTCTGGAGAATAACACTGACATTGTGAGAAGCTTTATTTGATACAGGATGTAGCATGCATGTTACTACCAAATGCTGGCTGAACTCAGTACTGCTTAGCCACTGAAAATTATTTTGCTGCTTTTCCTTTTGATCTATAGGGCAAAAAGCCCCAAAGCCAATTGTCTAATTTTGTTGGAAAGCACTGAATTTAGGGCAGAGTTATGGAACAGGAATGAAATATTTAGTTCTACTCCTGTGTGTAACTATGCAATTAAAAAAGTGAGTATGACAAACTTCTGTATCCTTTTATTCTTCTTTTTTAGCTTGTGCCCAGTTACACTTTGTTAGTTGAAGTGAGAGATATGGCAGGTCAGCCTTTTGGTTTGTGCACTACAGGAACAGTTGTCATCAAAATCGAGGATACGAATGACAATGCACCATCCTTTAAACAGTTACAAGTAAGTCTGCATAAGTAAAATGTCTGTATAAAGGTTGAAAAAAAAAGTATTTTCATCCCCTTTCTAATTTCCTGATGGACAGTCCCTCAAATATTAAGTCTAATGCCCTGAGACAATTAATGCTGATATGTTTTTGCTTATTCCAGCTATTAGTATGATTCCGAGCAAAGAGTATGTCTCAAAAACTGTGTATGCATCTCAAATACCATAGGAGATTTGTAATATGAAATATATGAAAAAATAATTAATTACTCATAAGGAATAGATGTAATTTACCCTTTCTGTTCACTACTGTAGAATATAATCAGTAATATTGAGAATCGCTCTTATCTGCTCTTCTTCAGCTTGTACAGAATAACACAGCTCTTGAAAAAGATAAAAAATACAAAAAATCCTTTTATCTTTTGCTATCAAAGTAGAGATATATTTAATCCTTCTTGGATTTTTGAAAGTTCTTGATGGTTTATTTATATATCTATATTTTATTTACCCCAATGCCTTTTCTAATTCTCAGCTTGATCATGTTGAACACAAGTTACAATCTATAGCTGATGTAACTGAGGGAAACTGTGCTAATTTACCTTTCCTGGAAGCAGAATTCCAGAATTAATTATGTCAGTGGTAGTTTGAGTGTATGAAGAAGTTGAGATTTCAGTTGTGCTGTCAGGAAAGGTTTATTGTTGGATTCAGGGTATAAGGGAGGAATGGGGAAAATATGCTAATGCATGAAAACAAAATAAATCATTACAGCAGCCTGGTAAATTGACTCCTTGGGTTGAAGTAGTCTTATTTAAATATGGTGTTCTTCAGTCCTGCATTGCGAAACAGTATTCTCTGATTTAAATGATTTTTTTTTTGTTTTGGGTACTCCAAGTATGAAACACGAGTGGAAGAAAACAGAGTGAGTGTAGAAATACTGAGAGTCTCTGTTGTTGATCTTGATGAACCTGGTTCACCTGGCTCAGGAGCAGTATATGAAATTATAAGAGGAAATGATGATCAGGCCTTTGAAATTACAACAGACAAAAACACAAATGAAGGAATACTGTGTGTTGTTAAGGTAAGTAGAAATTGAAGGGCTAGGGGAAAATTTATGGATTTTTAAATTTTGTTTTTAAAGCATAACACGCAAACCTCATATTCCATACTGTTCCTCAATTTTGTGTGCTCAGAATCCAAAGAATTTGGTTTTTGATTTCAGAAGAGCTTGGTACTTTGGCCTGGTTCTGCAGTTGGAGTTGTTTAGACTTAGGCATGTAACTGAGGAATGCTTCATGGTTTTTAACAGAAATGAGGGAGTGGCAAAGCAGGGAAAGATTGAGCACCTTCTTCAGTCTTGTTCTCTCTGGGAGTTAAGTAGACTTCCTATTTCAGCATAAAACTTTCCAGGTTTTATTTTGCAGTGTACTGACTTCAGGTTTGATTTTCTGGTGTGTAAGTCCATTTGCATATAAGAATTTGTGTCAGTTTAGTTATTTGTTACAAGTATTTTACAGATGTGAGGTAAAAGGCCCATTGCATCTGTACTCCAGCTGATCCCTTTGCCTCTTCTTCATTATCTTTTGTAACTGCCATAAGTAACTTCTAAGAAGCAGAAAAGACTAGTATTAAAATTTGAACATTAAGTTGTAGAGGTAGAGATGCTAGTCATTTTTTAAATTAATATTGTTTATTATGGATTTTTTGTTCCTAGTAATCAGAACTTTTTCTAAAGCTCTATCCCTGGTATATGAACACAGCTGAAATTTCTTACATTTATTGTAATGATGTAGTAGACAAGAGAATATTATGACTAGGATAATATTAGCTCTATTAAAAGCATAATATGACTTTGGAGAACGTGTCTGAAGAAGAAATGGTAGTTACTGTCAATTCCATAAATTCTCAGATGGATTTATGCTTCTAGAAAGAAGTGTGATTGACTGTTGGTGAAAAGGAAATATATGTAAGCTAAAATAATGGACTAAATATGGAAGAAACCCCCCTGCCCCTCTAAATTTAATTGCTTTCTGTTCTTTCAGTAAATAATTTACACAATATTAATCAGAAATTTTGCAGTGGTACTGTGTGCTTGGGTATTTTTCAGGCCCTTTTGTTTGACTAACTTAAAATTTTACATAAAAAAAAATCATGTCCTTTTACTGTGTCTTGATGGCTTATTTCAGGACAGCTGGCTTCTTTTATAAATAAATGTGGTACAGTTACAGCTCTAATAATTGCGTGGTGAAAAGAATGTTAAGTTTTGTATTGTTTTGAAGGGAAAAAAACACTGCCTCACCTTTGTTACAGGGATTGGACTATGAAACTGCCAAGCAAAGGATCCTGGTGATTGGAGTCAACAATGAGGCACCCTACCTGCTGGCTCCCCATTCGCAGCAACTTTCCCAGAGCACCTGCTCTGTTACCGTGCATGTCCTGGATGTGGATGAGGGACCGGTGTTTAAACCCTGTCTCTTGCGCTTAGACGTTAAAGAATGTGAAGATATTGGGACAGCTATTGGGAGATACATAGCAGAAGATCCAGAAAGTGGAAATACTGAGGGCATAAGGTATGAAACAACTTCATTTACAAGGTGTTTTTGGAGTACAGCATGGGTGGGATACGGGAAGGGGGAAATAGTTGTTGAGGCTGTGTGTACGTGTGTGCACCTGCACACCTGTCAGTGTACATGAATGCATGTACATCAAAATATGTGTGTGTGTACATACACGTGTGCTATGTTTGGGATCCTTAACAAGACAAATTCTTCTTCACAGATACCGGATACCACCTGGCCAGTGTAATTGGATCAACATAGATGAACAGTCAGGTGAAGTCAGAACTGTTAGGGTCTTGGACCGAGACATAGGAGAAATGAGACGAGGTCAATGCAATGTCACAGTCCTTGCAATAGACAGAAGTGAGTACTAAATGTTGTTGGAGTTCCCTGTGGTGTGTAACAGATGTTTATGTGCAAATATAGTGTGGGGACAACTGTACTGGTTCAGACCAGCGACCCACCTAATCCATTGTCTTGTCTTTGTAATAGCTCTGTGAAATGCTTAGGGAATATTATTTAGCAGGGAGAGCCTTTATAAATCAGGCACGAGCATGATGCTTTGAGAAGTTATCTGCCCCATTTAAAATCCTTTAGTAATTTTAATATAATTTCTCTGGAGTATATTTCTTCTATTTCTTGACAATTCTTTTTTAAGTGACAGCTCCTGGCAGTTGTGAGCTAGAAAACAGAGAAAGCAGAGAGGACCTTTTGAAAAGAAGTCATTGAACTTGCAGCAAAAACTCTGTCCAAATTTGCATTTTAAAGTCAAATGTAAATAATAGAAATTTAACTTGCTTAGAACTTCTATTGTCTATGTTGTAAACATGATATAGGCATCTGCAATCAACTATTTCTATAAAAAGAATTAAAAGGTAGACTTGATGTAATTTCACTGGAATGCATATGACAAGGATTGACCATTTATGTATTGGAAAAGCTGTAACTGGAAGGAAGAGTTCATTCATTTCTTGCTTGTTGACTTTGGTGACATGGTATGTGCCACTGATGAATGCATGGTGACTTAAAGGGTAGAGGACAGAAAGAAGTGCCTTGTTCTCTTAGTATTTTTGTTCCCAGGAGAGGTGAAGGTAGGGAAAGTGTAATTAATGTTCTCCTTCCAGAAGTTAGAAGGCTGGAGATCTTCACTTTCTGCTTTTGTCTCTGCTTGTCATAGTGTCCTTTACTCCTGGTTTATAAGCTCTTACTCTTATGTTAGAGTAGTATGTATTCCCACACAGACACACACACTCAGCAAAATACAGTCTGCACATGCAGAATATGGAGATGTGGGAGCTGCTGGTGCATCTGCAAAGAGAAGCAGCCAAGAGAGAGGTGTGAGAACTCCCCCTCTCTCTCTGGCTAAATCAGCAATTGCCTTCCACCTTACTTCTAAACACAAATATTACAGTTGATGATATTAAAATGTGAAAGTTTGGACCAGAAATTAATGTGTGAATGTTAGAAGTAAGTGCTCAACCTAGTTATTTTTATCTCATAGATGGTAAAACAGGCACTGGAACAATTCAGGTTTGCATCGTGCCTGGCAACAAGAATTTCCCACGAATCACTCAAACAGACTATATCATGTGCAGAGACAGAAAACCGATTTGCCTCACGGCACAGGATGGCGATGAGGCTCCTTACAGCGCGCCCTTTGTCTATCGCATAACCGACCGAAGACTGGCTTCCATGTGGAAGTTAACACCACACGACGGTATGTTAAAACTTCCTCCTCCTCACTCAGCTGCAGGCTGCCAGAGGAGGCTTTGCTGTCTCTCACTTAGGTGTTCTGCAAGAATAGATTGGAGGAATCTCTGTTTGGAATTGGTGTAGTCAAAGGAGCTCTTTTGGTCAGTGGAGCTCACTGATGATCTCTAGTAGTCCCTCTAGTTCCCCTCCAGTGGGAATGGACCCACAGAGAAGATGACAATGTTGGCATCCCAAAGGCAAGGAGAAAGATCTGTCTCTTAAAACATAAATAAGAATCTGTCCCTAGCATCCTTGGGTCAGTAATCATCTGTCTGAAATTATGAAGTAAGAAGATCAGGAGAAAGAAATAAATCTGATGTAATGCATTGCATCAACACCTGGAAAACTACCTGTAGATTCATAATTCATAAGGAATTTAAGAATGAAATGGCTAGTATTCCAAAGAGAAATAAAACTTTTCTTAGTCTGTTATTAGAGTGGAGGACTGGGAAACTGTAACTTTACCTAAAATTGATTATAGGCTGACAAAAAAAAGTTCTGGACATTTTTATGTTACTACTGCTGGTTCTCAGCACACTTTTTGTAAAGCTTGCCTGGGCAGTAGATAAACAATTTATTAGCAAAGAAATCACTGTTTCCTGAAATTTGTTGATATAAAAAGTTATAGCTGATGGTGGTTTCCTGGTGGTTGCCAGATGATGGCAACAAGAGCAGCACGTACATTTGCTGGTATGGTGACATGAATTAGTTGCAAAGGATATGATTCTGTAGTATTTTATCAAATATTCACTAAGATAAGCAAAAGACAGAAAAGTCTGAAAACAAAGACATCTAAGAATTTCAAGTTTTGTATCAGGCAAATTGAAAACCGCATTTTGGATTATTCACATTGTTTCATATAGCTCATCCTAAAACAACTATTATGTACATCAGTGTCAGTCTTGTACATTTTTTTACAAATTATTTATTTTGCCCCTCAAAGAATATTAATTAATCGTTGCCCCTAAACAAGGCAGCAGATTAAGTGGATTTTTCCCCCACTGGAAATAGTCATTCTCCCCAAATATAGCAATATAACTAAATAGAAGAGGTATAAATTAAGTTTGTAATTAATTATTCCAATCACACTACCAAAAGCCTTTTTGATAAATGTCAGTTTAGTTGATGATTCCTTCTAACCCCAAGTGGTGTCATGAACTAAATCAACTTCAGAGTTTCACATCATGTGTTTTCAGAGGGTTGTATAAGATATGCTTTGTCAGTTCTAGCATTTAAAAGGTGCTGAAAGTATAAATCCATTCAAGATCTAGTTTTATATCAACACATTTAATCTAACTTGAAACTAATTACTGTGAATCTGGTAGCAGTATAGCTGTAACAGAAGGGAAAATTGAAAATTGTGATTATGGTCACATTTGTGACAACTGAGTTCCAAACATCATTGACCCTAGATCTGGTTTTGTCTTCTTTTTGCAGATAATTCTTGGTATCTTTCACCAAAGAGTGATATTCCGTATGGAATTTATGAAATTCCTGTAACTGTGATTGATAATGGAGGAAAGAGAGGAGAGAACATAGTAAGAGTTAATCTCTGTGATTGTGTTACTCCATCTGAATGTGATGGCAGAGCTCGTCAGCTTTCGGGTGGAAATGTTACCCTTGGTCTCTGGGCCATCCTTGCAATGATCTTAGGATCATTATTACTGCTGCGTAAGTACATTTTTTTAACCATAAAGTAAAATTCACTTTATTATAAAATTATCTGAGACAACCAGATTCAAACTCAATTCAAACATTTTTTATTTGGGCTGTTATATAGCCATCATTGGTGACTTAATGTACCTGCTCTGTTTATATCAGTATCATAGGCTTCCTGCTCTCATCTTGTGTGGTAGTTACTGTGTGTGGATTTCTGTTTATTTGTTTATTTTGTGTGAGATGTTCTGTATATTAATTTGAGGCCAAAAAAACCTGTATTTAGCACTTGAACCAAAAAACTTCAAAATAGCTTGTGAGTTCTAGAAACATTTCTGTTTCTGGGAATGCTGAAATCATTTTCCCAAAGTTATTTTGTTATTTCTGTTGTGTTGTGGATTAAAACATGGGAGTATCTGAGACACTGGATTTCACAAGGGATTTTACAAGAGCCCATATAATCATGGAACCATTGAATATACTGAATTGAAAGGGATCCATCAGGATCATTGCATCCAAATTCTTGGCCTCGCACAGCACACCAAGAATCACACCATGTGCCTGAGAACATTGTCCAAACACTTCCTAAACTCTGTCAGGCTTGGTGCTCTGACCACTTCCCTCCAGAGCCTGTTCCAATGCCCAACCACCCTCTGGATGAAAAATCTTTTCCTGATATCCAACTTAAACCTTCCCAGACTGAGCTTAATGTCATTTCCTTGTCACTGGTGATGAGAGTGAAGAGATCAGTGTCTGGCCCTGAGCTTCCCTTGAGGAAATTGTAGATTGCAATGAGGTCTCCCCTCAGTTTCCTCCATGCTGAACAGATTAAATGACCTCAGCACCTCCTCATACAGCTTTCTCTCAAGGCTCTTTGCCATCTTCATGGTCTTTCTTTGGACACTCTTTAATAGCTTAAAATCTTCTGTGTATTGTGGCATCCAAAACTGCACACAGGTGAGGCCACTCCAGTACAGAGCAGAGCAGGACAATCCCCTCCCTTGCCTGGCTGGCAATGCTGTGCCTGATGCACCGCAGGACAGGGTTGGCTTCTGGCTGCCAGGACACTGCTGACTGTCATTCAACTTGCCATGGACCAGGACCCCCAAGTCCCTTTCTGCAGCTGTTCTTAAGCATCTCTTTCCCCTGTCTACACACATCTAGGGTTGTCACATCTGAGGTGCAGAAATGTTAAAGGGCAAGTCAAATAGTTCACAGCAGACCAAAACCTTGAATAGATGTTGTGCTACTGGAGCTGCCCAAAACTTAGCAGATTCTGAGAAGAGTAATATTGCTGTTAACCAGTGAGACGACAGTGATATATAAAAGCAAAAGCAAATTTTTTGTTTTTATTTTTAATAAAATCAAACATAGTCTGACTAATAACATCCTTAAAGAACACATAGGACATGCTGAAGTAGCTAGTATTTCAGAATTTGGTTTTGGGTTTTTTTTTTCTTCTTTTTGCTCCATTTTTTCTGGTGATAGTAAAAATGTCTTGCTCCCATTGAATCTCAGCTAGCTGTTCTTACTTAAGTAGCTGGAACACTGGGACCTGGACATGTTTTGAAGGCTAGCTAGATCAATGTTTATCTCAATGGGGCAGGTACCCAAATTTGGGATATATCCTGAAGGTGGAATTTTCATGAAGTAGGAGAACTGTGTGCAAGGTTGCCTACTTTTTCACTGTCTCTTGACTGCATCGCTTACAAACAGATCCTTTATTTTAGTGTGGATAGGTTTTATCCTGTGCCTCCTCTGCTCAGTGCTGTCATGGATGTCTTCTTCCCATCTGTCAGCATCAGGAAGCAACCTGCTAGAATCATTGATGCAGATCTCTCTGACAGCTGATGCTACAGAAGCTATATTAGCTTGAAAGTGGCTCTTGGCCAATTTTCACAGAAGTTTTTATGTTCAGAGATCAATTTTCTCAGTGGGCAGTTAGGCAGAACTCTTCCTTGTGGGCTTTTTTATTTTTAAGCTAACAATTTGAAAAGTGGAGACAACAGAATGGTTCTCTGAATGAAAGGTTTAATCATTTGTTTAGGAAAGGTATTAGTTAATCATGATTCTACTATTCAGTCATGTCTGGGTGAGTTTCTGACAACAAAAAGTAGTATTAATTGGAATAAAATGAATACAAGGGATTAAATAAAACTGTTCTATAGCATAATCCTGAAAGTCCTCTAGGGTTCTGTTGACCTTTCTTGTGAAGCAAAGTTTTTGGTATTGGGACATTTAGCTTGCCTGTTAGTACCTTGTGGTATAATTTAACATTTGCATATTCAGACATGAAAAATATCTCCTGTACAACCTAATTATAGTCATAAGACACGATTTTTCACCCGGTTTTGGACGAAATTTTTCATTACTGTGAAATAGTGTAAGTCAAAGTGCTTTCACAAATGATGTTTGCATTTCTTTTGGAAAAATCAGATGTGTTTTAGAAGAATGAAATAATTCAACAGCACAATGATTACTCCCTATACTGTTTGGAGAAAAAAAAAGTGAATATATAAAGCTTTAAGTATGGGCATTTTTGGAAAAGAATTTATTTTTAAACCATTCTTGATGTTTAGGCCCTTAATATTCATTATCCAACATAAGTAGATACCATTGTGAGGTAAAATTTATAGTATTATTTCCTTTTCCACAGTAATCCTGATCACAATTTGTGGCTGCTGTGGCACTGGAGCAATGCACAGGCAGGTGACTGATGATTGTGCCAATCACAATTTAATAATTTCAAACACAGAAGCTCCAGGAGAAGAAGTGATGGTAAGTTGCCTGTTTCAACATAGAAACTTGCAATCGAGATGTCCATAGCATTGCAGTTTGAGAATAGGACCACCTGTCAGGAAGTGATTTGATAAAGGAAGTAAGCAAACAATGAAGGGATCATTAGATGTACTTTGCTATTAACAAGTATTTAAAAATACTTACTTTAGGCAGAGGTGATAGTACTATGTACATTTAAACATACGTTGTAGTTAGACTGGCTACTTGTAATTCTTTCACATTTAAAGGATTTGGTTGGAAGTTTCAGATGAACATTTTAATAACATTTCCAGTCATTTTTAACAATGAGATTAGATTGAAATTAATTATCTTGCCTATGTTGAAAATGTGTTAATGGCAAAACATTCTTTTTCCTTGGAGAAGGATTTTTATATTTAGCAGATAGCTGTGTAAACTGCAGGTGCAATTTGTGCCCTTCCCCTGAAAAATGACCTCAAATGCAGTTGATTTCATGAACAGGTCCATGTTCATGAAATTTTTCTTGCTTTTGGTATCTAAGATTTTTTCAGTCCACCACAAACATAGTTCAATCTGAGACTGCATTCATGCAGAATAACTTAGCTCTTTAGACTACCTGTTTTCTGTCATCCTCCACCCCCTGACATCAGCTTCCCCAAGAAGAGGAGATGAGTTTAAAAATAATATTTCGTGTTGAAAACTAAGAAAGCGTTATGGTGGCACAAGTCAAATTTCTTGTTGCCTAGGAAGAATATGGATTATACACATATATACACTTCCATTTTTTCATATCATATCTTATCACAGATATCCTCTCTTCTCTCTTAGTATCCTTTCCCAAGATTATTTACTAATCTTTAGACACTAAGGATAGCCTTTTGCTCAAAATATCACAGTGCCAAGAAAGAGACTTCTCAAATTTCAGTTGTGACAGTTTCTGATTGCCGTTTCTTCTTTTTGAAATAAAAAGGAGAAAGAAATTAAGAGAAAAAGGATGTCCTCACTACTGCTTTTTTGTTGTGTTTCATGTGTTTAGGATCAAAATATAATTCCTCTACAAAATACATGTGATCAAGGAGGGTATGGAGTAAAGACAGGAGAGCAGCAAACATTTGAAATGGTAAAAGGAAGGGGGCATACCTTGGAATCAGTCAAGGGAGGTGGACATCAGACTCTGGGATCAGTTAAAGAAGGAGGAGGACAGACTGTGATGGATACTTGTAGATACTCCTACTCAGAGTGGCATAATTTCACACATCCTCGTTTAGGTGAAGTAAGTATTCTGAAACTGATTTTCTTTGAAGTGTAGGTTATGGTCAATCTATAAAGGCTTTTGAAGGAAGATGTGTAAATGTTCTAGAAAGGTGGCTTTTTGGTTTTGGTTTAATTTAATTTTTCCTCTCCTTTTCTTCTCTGCATCTCCTTTGGAATACTGCTCTTTCAAGGAGTAATCCTTGACATATTTCAGGCTTAAGTGTAAATTACTTTCTTCTCTTGGCTTAAGCTATAGGCAGTGTGCTGGTTTTCATTTTGAATAATTATTGAAACTTTTGTTAGTTTTTCTGAGGATTCCTGTTTGCTTTTAGTCTAGCTGCTTGCTTTGTGCTAATTTAAACCTCATACTTGGCAATGGTGCAGGAATGAATGTACAGTATTAAAAATGTAGTCCATTTCTTGGAGATCAAAAAACTCTCACTACTTGTCTAACTAGTTATGTATAAATCAGTCTTTTAATTTTCAGTAAATTTTAGTTGCTTGGCAGGTTATTTAAACAGGTTCTTCCTCTTTTATTGTTACATATGTAATTAGTATAAATTATTTCTTTATTAATAACTTATATTTTGTAGTCGTAATGATATAGACCAATCATGTGCATTTTTTGTATGTAGGAATCCATTAGAGGACACACTGTGATTAAAAATAATTGAATGAAAGGTAAATCAAAAAGAAATTTTTTTTTTGCAATATGTTTAGGATAACAATTTAAGAAAATGATAAGATCTGTTTTGTTCCTATCCAGAAGGTGCACCTATGCAGACAGGATGAAGAACAGAAGCATTCTGAAGATTATCTTCTTTCATATAACTATGAAGGAAAAGGATCCTTGGCTGGCTCTGTAGGCTGCTGCAGTGATCAGCATGAAGAAGAGGCACTTGACTTCTTAGATCAGTTGGAACCCAAGTTTAGGACATTAGCAGAAACATGCATCAAAAGATAAATGTGCCTTTCACAGTGCTGAAAAAAACATGTAAATAAGCGGCTGTTATACTTTTGTGATATTAGGTACTTTGGAATTGAGAGGGGTAGAGGTTTATCAAAATTAAACTAGATCGGTGAGAGTGTAAATAACTCTTGCTTTAAATTTACATTTTATTACACTGGACACATTCTATCAGAAAAAAAGGATTCAAAATATTTTTCTTTAGGTTAATGTAGTAATGCTAGTTTCTACTTAGATTATGTTTTGTGTTCCTTGTGATTACTCACAATGCAAAACTTGGTGTTCTTTTAGTTAATTATCCAGCTTCAAAATTTTATTGTATTTGGCTTTGGGGAGGAAAGCTTTATAACTCACTGTTTCTTTGTTTTCTTTTAATTTTTGTAGAAATGAAGCAAATAGTATTGTTGGTGGATATAAAATACCTTGTTAACTTATATGAGCTGAGATACAAAATATTTTTTTCATTTTGGACATAAAAATACTCATGAATATATTAGAAAACTTTACATTGTGATTGAAAATTAAATAAATATATATTGTATATATGTAAAATAATATTCAAAAATATATTTTTCTCCTAATGGGTTACCACCCATCAGACTTGCTATCCTAAGGGATTTATGACATCACCACATAGGGTATCAGCATTGTATGCGAGTATGTATTTTTCTTTTAAGGAAATAAGAGATAAGAAAAAAAAAATCATGCAATAGGGGAAACTATCATATTTCAAATGAATGCAATACAAATCGCATGTTTACTTCACACAAGTTTGTACCTCAGTTTCTTGTGAGTTTTGACATAGTATCATTGCAGAAATGATGACCATTGCCAAGAGTTTTGTCCAGTGTAGCTACCACTACCTTGTCCTGCTATGGACTTCATTAAACTCTTTCTTGTTGGAAGTAGAAACATACGGCTTAAATGGATTGACAGCACTGCATTAATAACATGTTTTTGAGATATATTTTTATTGAGATGCAGAATTACAGTAGGAGAAACCATCTGTTTTGAGTGTAATTTGAGGTAGTTGTAGAGGTCAGCGTTTACACACATCTCGGGCAGAAACCATCTGAATCCCATTTGTTACTGTACTAGATTAAGCATACATATACACTATATATATATATATATATATATATACATAAACACACAAAAGTCTGAAATAACTTTGGCAGTTGACAGTAGTGGGACTTGAATGCTGCCATAAGCAGCAGGTGGAATTCCACCTCTGCTTACCAGGTTTTAAGTGTTTTTTTAATGTTGCACTCCTGGTTAGGTAATCTGTCTTCTGCACTCTAGAAATTCTCTTGTGCCTTAAAAGAACATCTCGGTGCCTATGAGAAACTTGTGCAATTACTTATTTCTCCGTGCCTATGAGAAACTTGTGCAATTACTTATTTCTGTAGCTATAAAATCTTTTAGGATTTGCTCTGTAAACATATGCTTTAGAGATATTTTAAAAGATTTACTATAACTAATGATCTGTAATAGGAATAATTGCTAATAACCAAGAGTCATGCTGCTCTAAATTTCAGTCACTGCTGACTTCCACTGGTTGCAGTTCATTCCATAAGAATTACAATGAAAGCCCATAACAGTCCAGAAACTTAGCAACATTATAAAATAGTACTTTTAAAACTTTATGTTTTACACTGTAAATGGGCTTCAGAATATTTCTGGTAAGAACTATCTGTGGTTAAGAACTTCATAGACCAATGTTAAATATATTTTACTGTATCATTTGAAACTGGGAATGTATTCATCGTGAAGTAAATACACTGCCAGTGGCAAGAATGACAATCATCAGCAGCAAAATACTAGATGAGATGCAAGGTGTTACTTTCTTCTTTTAAAAAATGTGTGCTAACACTTGTCTTCTGAACACTGCTCATTTTTATCACTAATATAAACAAAATTTTCTGTACATGGACGGTCAATTCTGTGACTGATACAAGTCAGAATTTCTCTGCTGATGCCAGTGGAGCTAGGCTGACTTTATCTGTCCACTAGTGATTTTCTTGCTGCTTTGTCTTGCATTTTATGTTTAGTTATTAGCTATACACTTTTTAAGGTAATAGTAATATCTCCCTCTCCCTCTCTTAATGTTTGGTGGTGTTTTTATTTGTTTGTATTTTAAATTATATAAAAAATCCTGTGATTCAGAAGGACCTAGGATAAATAATGACTGTACTCTTTTGAAAATTACTTGGAGGGTGGTGTAGAGAAACCCCTGCAAGTATGGTTTCTTTCCTCATGAAATACAGTAATAGTACTTTTCAAAAAGAATAGACCAAATTTGTATGAGCTTAAATTGAATCAGTGTTGGCTGTTTTAAGCAGATGGTTGCCAACTTACCATCACAGAGTTAAACTATTACATTATTTAAATAAAAAATAATATTATTCTAATCTAATTTACCTTAAAAATGTTTTATTTGGTTTAGATTTTTTGGCTTTTTTTTTTTTTTACATTTCAGAAAACAAAGCTAATTACTTTTTTTCCCATTTTAAAACAAACTAGAAACAAACTAGTAGAATCACTTCTACTCCTTTGTCTCTTTTAGAAACTAAAATTCTGAGTTGAACCAGGTATTTCTGTAAAACCAAGACTAGAAGTTGAAGACTAGAGATGCTCAAAAAAAAAAAAAAAACCCTGCAAAATATTATTTTCTTTATATCTTCTAATTATGTGAATGGAAACTTTGTCAAAAGCATTAAAGTTTACAGATACCAAGTACCAGGTAACATTTGTGTAAATCTTATAAATGGAATATTTCAAAATGTATAATTCACTTGTTGTTACTGTCTTGAATCACCTTAGAAATTGTGAAGATTTCTTCCCTACAGCTAGGTAATCTGCAATCTACCTAACTGTGTCAAAATTATCTTAACATCATATTTTTAGGTATATTTTGTACAACAGTGAGTAATAAATTTTTTGCAAAATAAAAGAATGTTCTATAAAAACTCTTCATTTCTTGTACATGAGCCAGTTTATGAAGATAAGTATGCCTATTTCTGAAGGGGCTTTTTAAATTTTAATGCAGTGCTCTTGTGCCACTATAGTGCTGTAATACAAGTAGTAGTTCTCCTTGCAGCATGAGTTGAGAAGGGGTCTAGCTGGAGTTTATACTTGGCAAATTCAGGATATTAAGAGTACACAGCATTACTCTGTCATCTTGCTGAAAATTTGTAAAAAAAATACACAGTGCCTGCTTTGCAAAGCTCATAAAAACCATTTGAAAACCAGCAGCAGCAGAAAACCCAAATTTTAATATGTTTGGCATGTAAAGCTGCAGAGTATCAGTATAGTGGGGGTTATGATATTATGATCAGGAGACAAATGGAATGTAAGTTTGGTTATCCTGCTTCAGGGAAAGGCAAATTCACAGAATGGCTGAGTTGGAAGGGACCTCTAGAGGTCCTCTGGTCCACCCTCTTTGCTCCTGCATGGCCACTTACAACTGGTTGTTTTGGACCATGTGGATTTTGAGTATGTCCAAGGATGGAGACTACAGCTCTCTGGGAAACCTGTTCCAGTGCTCAGTCACCTTCAAAGTAAAAATGTTCTTGGTCTTCAGATGGTGCTGCCTATGTTCTGGGCATCACTGAAAAAAGCCTGGCTCTCCCACCTATGCACCTTTACTTCAGGAACAGGTATAAATTAATAAGATCACCCCTGAACCTTCTCCAGGCAATAGTTCACATTCCTCAGCCTTTTCTTATCAAGAAAGGCTCCAGTCCCTTCATTGTTTTTTATGCCTTCTTTGGACTGTCTCCAGTATGTCCATGTCTCTCATGTACTGAGGAGGCCAGAACTAAACACAGCAGTCCAGGTGTGGCTTCACCAGTACTGATTAGAAGGGAAGGACCATTTCCTTTGACCAGGTGGCAACACTCCACATGCAGCCCAAAAGGTCATTGGCTCCTTTGTAGGGAAAGCACATTGACTCATGGTATCCACCAGGAGCCCCAGGTCCTATGCTGCCAAGCTGTGCTTTCCAAGCAGCCAAGCTGCTTCTTATGCCATTCCAGCAGGTATCAGGGTAGTAAAAATGCCCCATGAGGACCAGAGTCTTCAGATGGAA